ACAATTTATGTTCATGATGTAAGGTCGACGTATAATAGTTGTTCAGCCGGGTTAAATGTGGCGGTCTGATATACAGACCATTAGTCCAAATTTACCTGGAAACTTGAAGTCACACCTTACCAAGTCAAGTAAGTCAGTAAATATCACGTTTTAAATTCCGAAGCGACTATTTGGTTGTCTCGGGATAGTTTTCAGAGTTCAGACAAAGATGATTCAGTCATGTAAGAGTCAAGTCATGGTTATTCAGTCATGAGAATATTCAGGCCAGTCATGTCAAGATCGAGAATAGTCTGTCTAAAAAGACAAGACTTATCTATCATTTTCAGTATGTCAGCGCCTCGATTCTCAAATTCTGAAGAATCTGAGAAATCGTGGGAGATATTCACTCATGATGGACTTCTTCTTGAGGTTAAGTTTAACCTCGGAGGAAGTAAACAGTTGCAGGTACCACAGGTTGAGATACGCCGCGACAAAGAAGGGCCAATCGATAGCAACAGATCGTACCAGGATGACAAACCGACGCTTTCCATTCAAAGATGCCATGCTTGAGTCTCAGTACACTGGGAGATTACAGAGAGTTAGTATTAACGTACATTGAGGTTACTAGCTTGAGGTATAAATACGATCAGATTACGTCGACGGCGCAGGTGCAATGTTCGCCAGGTGCTGTATGCAGGCGTGCCGCACTCACTTGATGAGGAGCAGGTGTACCGCAGTACAATATGCCGCAAACGATGTGCCGCGTTGTCGAGCAGACATTCATGAAAGATAATTACCAATATAGCTAGTTATCCTCATTTGTGCATATGTGAATCTCTGGAATCTTCCGTGTGTACCAACGACTGGAGTCTTAACAACCAGCGTTCAGACTGGAGATCAGCCAGCAGTCAGAAGATGATGACCAATACGCTTCAGAGTTTTATTTTGAGATCATGTTTTATCAGTGGAACACTTTATTTTAGAAAGTGTCCATTCTCAGTCAGCAGTAATCAACAATTCACTTAATTGTGAATTGATGTATCTTCAGTTCAAATCAAGTCTATTATTCAGTATTAAAATATTAAATTTTCAAGTCATGTAATCAGTAAGTATAAGCTTCAAATTAAGCTTATACATTCCAGTTTTAGTATTTCCGAGGACGGAAATATTTTAAGGGGGGTGGATTGTAACGCCCCGTATTTTATTAATAAAGGAAAGTACTAGCTTTTAGTTTTAAGCTAGCCTTTATTAATAAATAATCATATTCATGTTCAAGTTCAGATTAATCATTCAGTTATATTCTATGTTCGACTATTAGTCGATAAGTTATTCGGTTTACTTATTTTAGTAACTGATTAAGTTTCCAGATTTAATTCCGATTCGTTTAATTAATTAATGAATCCGGAATTAATTATTCAGTCAGCGATATCCCGTCATGTTAATCATGTTTTAGTTCCGATATAATATCGTTATCGAGTATTAATTTGTGGAATTAATTATTTTCAGTCGGAATTACCGGAAATTATTTTCGACGTTCCGTTTACGTTCGGAATAATTTTGGTAATTAAGTATTATGTCTAATTAAATAATTAAGCATTTAATTATACTTAATTAAGTAATTGATCATGCCACTAGTTAATTTGCCGTAGCAAATGGGAGTTAAAGTTCAATTGGCCGTGAACATTTTCCCTTAAGCAAGGGAAATTTATTTTCTCTTTTTACAAGTATGAGGTGTCCATATCTTGTGCTTTTAGTGATGACTAAGGATATATTAGTGATGATATTATTCCTAGTATTGGCAAGTGTTCAAAGCTCATGAAGCCAACAAAGCTCCTTATTTTCCCCATGTTTTGTTCGGCCATATTATATATAAGTATAGAATTGGGGAAAATCTCCTCATTTTCCAGCCTTATATTCCTTTAACTTAAGTATAAAGAGTTGGGGAGAGTTAGTGAGATCTTGTTCCGTAAGCAACGCACGCAAGCACTCCGCCGAGAGTACCGCACGGCGCACGCGAGAGTACCGCACAAGGAGGCTCCGGTTAAGCCGAGTAGTAAGTGCGATCGTTCACGGGTTCAGGAAGGTAGCTTCAGTTCACCTTTATTCGTTCATATTAAAGTTATGTTATTTCCGATTTGTTCACGTTCATGGCATGGCTTTAAGCCGTTCGACCGTACGAGTGTATAGCGAGCGTGTTCATGTTCAGCTTGAAATCTCTCGAGTAATAAGCTTGGAATCAGCCTCTTCATGTTGTATCATGCTTATGAAGTTTATGTTGTTCGGGAGAATATTTCATATTACTTAATGGTTCGGTCATGGGTAGTGGTCGCGTACGTCGCGCGCCCACGGGCCGAACGTAGTGGTAGATTATGTTAAGAAATAAGGATCGAACTTTTCACGTCTATTTATTTCATTAAATGTCATGTCATGTTCAGTCAAGTGTAAATTGCCGAGAGAAGATCGTGATTGGTCGTGAAACGG